TGGAGGGGATTAGAGAACTACCAACCCCTGAGGACAGGGCAAGCTGGAGAGATTTCTTTGAAACACACTTTGGTTCAAACTGCATGACAGAAACAAGTGCGGACATCAAAATGGCCTATTGACTCAGCAATGTGTTTTCCTAATGAAAATGTCTCTTTCATGACAACTCTTAGAAAATTTGCTAATATATTGGGCTGTTCTGAAGTTTGCCCCGTTCTTTTGCCTACAGTTTCCCTCTCAGTACTCTTGTTCCTACTGAGATACTCTCACTATCCATCTTTAAACATTGTGTTGTCTCCATTGTCATCACCATCTTTTGAAAATATCTAGGGGTTTTCAGGCCACAGCCTCTCTCAGGCTTTGTTTACTTACATGGCTGAGAATTATCCTTTTTAGACTTCTCTTAAAGGTTACTCAAGGCTCTTTATCATTTTTTTTCCCCCTCTGGTCTTCGGCTTCTCTCCAAAATGTCAATAACTTTCGAGGAATGTGATGCCTGGGAATTATGGCAGTTCTGCTTACTGTGGATGGCTGATGATGATAGGGGCAAGGAAAGGTCTTAGCCTAATATTTGCACGAGAGCAACAGGAAGTGTTTTTCTGGGATGTTTTATGCTCTGACGCAATCAAATGGTGGTCTGTAAAGACAAAGGAAAGAGAAAAATCAGGCAAAGCTTACAGCTCTTGTCAAACCTGAGTACTAAAGTTGGGATTGTAGCAGGTCAAGATGTATAYTCCCCTCATCAGTTACTATGCCAGAAGCAATGACCCAGTTTACAAACTATGGAAATTGTTTTCTTATCTATGGTAGCATTTCCATCCCATGGCTTTATCAGACAGAGAGAGTGGTCTACAACATGCATCTGGCTGTTCATGCGACAGAGACTGAAGGTGGAGAACTTTCCAAGAGGACKCAATAGTGAAAGATCTAGGGCAGATCCACTGTTTCTCCCTTCCCCCGCAAATTCTCTGTTCTTTGTGATTGCAAGGAAAAGACTGTTGCTATAGAGACTAGTGGGGAAATGCACCTTCTTTCATGTTTTATATCTTTTTCTAAGGAGACTCTTTAAGCTGGGCCTACCTCCATGTACTTTTACCGAAACAATAATGCCAATTAAAAAAACAACAGTAACAGTGATATTAAATGAAATAATCATCACTTCTAAAGCATTGCTGCCTATAACCTTCTACTCTGGCTAAGGCGTTGTGAGTGTAAAAGGGTGATAAAACTAAGCTAGTTAACTGGAGGGAGGGAATGAGTCCTACACAGGGATAAATGGAGGTTAATACTTGAAGAAGGACAAAACCAGCTAAATAAAATGTCATCAGATTTGATTTATGAGCAGAGAATAATGAAATAAGTGAGAAGGGCACATTCCATAGCATACAGCTCAGTTAAGACTGCCATGCTGCAGGAATCCCACCACAGAATGTCGTCTGGCACATGCTGCAYATGTGGGTACCACTGGAAGGTCTCTGAACCATGCAGAGTGCCTATGACATCCCAAAATGCTTAAGGAGACGAAAGGCACCTATTGTTTTATATCTCCAGCTGATTGCCAGACTTCACTGCTCCATCTTTCACCAAGATCTTACCTCGGTAAGGTAAGATCTCTCTCTTTTCCCATTGCTTCTTTGGCCTGGCTATGTGTCTGCTTTTTGCTCCTTTCAAGGTCTCCCAAACTTGGCACATACTATAGAATGTATATAAAGCTTTTCTCTACTCAATCGTACAAACAGATATGYTCAGTGTTTAGCAGGGAAGAAACACTTCTCCTTTTTCTCTGCTGCTCTACYTTGTACAAGCATACAAACATACTGGTAGCCCTCTTTGTTTTCTAGACCTAGCCTTTTTCACTGGCTAATAGGTTTTAATGGTCACTAGCTGTGAATAAGCAACAAAGTCACATAATATCTATTACAGGGGCTGTAAGAACTTCTAGACCCCAATAATATATGAATATTAATAAAATAACTGTAATTATATAATAAAAGGAAAACAATAAATGCGAGAGTTTTTGTCCTCAGGAGAATGATAATCTAACTTAAAAAGCAATTATCATCAGTAACAAAATGCAGACAAAAGGCAGTATTACTTTAATAAGATTACTTGCTGCTTTTAATTTTTTTTTTCCTGTGAGTGACAGTAATGCTGCTTCATCTCACTCACAACCAGTTTCTCAGGTGCTTCTCCCTCTGAATATGTGACAGGCCAATGCAGGGCCTGGGAAGGAYGCTGAGCGTAGGCCTCACAGCCCTTCCCGCAGATCAGGTACCTCACCATTAGAGTCTAATCTTGCCTTTTGAACAATCCAACCCTTGCCTCCCTCTCCCTCCCCTCATGGAGTGCTTAGTGTGTTTTGTGCTCAGTGTGACACATGGAAAAGACAAGAACAAGAGGACGTGGAGGTGCGAGGAAAGCTCATGTSTTTATGGAGATCAAAAGACAAGGGGGAAAGTAATTGTAAGGTCAGTGTTGTAAAATCAGGGCAGAATTTTAGTGATTATGTAAGCACTTGGGAAACTTAGGTTTATCCAGATCTAGGCTCAGTAATACAGCGCATTAGGAGTAATACAAGGAATTGTCCTCTAACTTCCAGTAGCCCATTAACCCAAGTGGTGGCCAGTGCTCATGCCCTTCTCTCTCCCTTTTCACAGCCTCTGGTCTGGGTTTCTGTGGCACATAAGTCTCTGCTCAACCACAGGTACATTCAGTAGTCATATCCTTGGGTGGAAAGTAAGTAGGGAGGAGGACATGTGCTCAGGGGAATGGTAGGGATGCAGAATGTTACATCAGCATCTTGTGCTTGTTTTCTTGGAATGCTGTTTGATCTACACAATTGGATTTAGATTTTTATACCTGTTTAAAAATTTTATTTCTCCTACTTGGCAAGCTGGCTGGAGAGGGAATTACTTGGTAGATAAATGAACAGTAGACTGCAAGGCATCSGTGTCAAGATGCACTACTTTGCACTGACTGTGCATACTGAATTGATCCCTGATGCTACTCTCTTTCACCTCTGCTCTCCTAATAAATGTGGGTGTGGTATTCCTGCCTCCTCCAAAGATTCTTCACCAGGGCCAAGACTCAGGTCTTCTTCTTATGAACTACCTCAGGAAGATTCATTCTTTCTCTTTTGGACACAGAGGACACAGAGAAAAGGCAAGAAGTGCATTGTTAAGCTGCTGCATGATCCAAAGCCGGGAAGGTGAGCAACAAGAGACAGACTTTTTGGAAAGGGTAGCCAAGTTTAACAGAAATGGACAAAATAACCATAATAAAAGAAGTACAGCAAATTACCCTCCTGGCTGTCCAGCGACAAAATGAGAAGCACTGGGCACATACTGAAACACCAAAAACTCTGTCTGAACATGACACATTTTCTGTGATGCTTGTTRAGTACTGGAAGAGTTTGCCCGGAGGGGATGTGGGAACATTTAGTCTTGGAGATATTCAAACGCCATGCCAACCCACAGCATGGTTATGGACAACCTACTGTAGGTGAGCCTGCTTCAGCACAGTATTTGGATCAGATGGTCTCCAGAGGTCCCTTTCAACTTCAACTGTTCTGTGATTACTAGCCACGTTAGTCTCATGCTATGTCTATTGCTGCAAAAGTGCCTTGTCATCTGCGCTGTGTCTTCTGTCAGCACTTCTGTTCCATTTTAGCTTGAACAAGGTAATCTGTCTTCCAGCTCCCAACTCATTGAAAAGCAAAGGCCAGGTAAATACCTTTCAAATGCTTTGTGCAACCAAGATTCACACAGCTGAGAGACACAGAAGGTGAGATTGAAAGACTGATGACAGCAATGGTGATGTCTCTACAGAGACTGCATTAAATCCTAGCAGGAATGCATGCAATGGCCCTGTGTGRGAAGAAAGAGTTGTGCCCTTGTGCCAGATGCAGCTTGGGAGGAGGAGCTTTATGTTTCTGCTTGGGAGAATATCTGCATACATATGTTGATGTATATATATAACATGTGTGTGTATATATAAACATACATATACACATATATACATACACACACATATATAACATATAATATATGGAGAGAGATATATATATGTTGATACAGATGTAGATAAATATATAGATATATTTCTGTCCCAGCAAGGCCAATGTCAAGACTCTGGGTTCTAGAAGACATAAAATACTCCAGAACTTCCTGTCAGAGCTCTCAACTGAGAACCCCTACAACAGCAGCAAAAAAAAATTAGGACTTTCTTTGCTATTCTTGGAGACAGGAAAAACAGACCAGGACACAGCTAATAAATAAGACAAATTTAATCATAAACAGTGTACATACTGTTAGGGGGATAGATAGAGCGGGAGAAATGGTCAGAAAGGTGTTGCCCTGGCACCAGGCATAAAAGAACAATGTATTTTACCAGTTGATAGACAGTACCAATGAAGAGTGGAGCTAACGAGTGATGATGGGATTTTGACTCCCAGAGGCTAATTTTCACAGACATTCATCATTTTTGGTTTCCTGTCAGATTACAGAATGAACTAGGTCACAGCCTGGACCAAGATGCAGCAAGAGAGACACAGCCAAGAAGAGAATTTGATGRTGAGGGACAAGAATATCCAAATGCTTTTCTGAGGTATATATAACATATATACTCTACTGTTATGTAAAGTTCAGGGGCCATGCTCTACCCATAGTTATGCATGCTTGCCTCTCATTCCAGTTGGTGAGAGTGATAAACTGAGAGAAGATATCTGTCTTTGAGGACACATAGAGAAGCCTAGCATACTGAGCAATAAAGTCAAAAGCGGTACAGGGAGACAGTTTAACACAAGAAAGCCTGGTCTGAGAAATGAAATAAGTAAATAGCAGTCCCAGATTTATTTAGCCAGTTCAGCCCTATTTAGATAGCCAGCACAAAGCTTCTGTTCCGAAGGACTTCTACAGTGCAAAGGTTTCCACCAAGGCAAACTTTATCAGATGTCAAGTAATACTGTGAACAAAATRTCTAGATTTTAACAGAAGACAGAATGGAACTGGTCCTAGATCAACTGCCACATCCATTCAGTTCTTAATTTTGAAGGAAAACTCAACCRTGTCTCTGAAATGGTCTAGGTCAACACATGAAGCTGGTCAGCCCCAGCTTGCAGGGGCAGACAAAAGGAACTATTCCTCCAGTGGCCAGCAAGGTATATGGTGGCATTTGTAGTACAGTGTTCAAAGCTGTGAACAGTGTTCTGTATTCAGCTGCTGTGAGAAAAAATATTGCAACAGGCTTGCAAAGCAGTCAAATGTATTGTTTTCTTACAGTATAATTTCACATTCAATCAATGTACATCATTTAGATTTACAGCTGACACACACCTTTTACTTCTAAAAATTATACACTTTTCATCTCAAACACATTTGCCACCTAGTTTTGCAATGAAACCATTCCCAGACAATAAAAAACAAAAAACAAAAACAAAAAGCAAACAGAAAAAAATCAATAATACAAAGCAACATTCTTGTCAATGTCAAATTACAGCTGTCCCAGCAAACATAAAATAAAAACATTCTGAATGCAGGTTGCACCAGAAGTCATTTAGAGTTATATTTTTGTTCACAGAGTCCACTCCCAATCCAGGAAACCTCAGTAGCATTGTCTTTAGAAATGTAAATCCCTTTTTTTTTTTCAGAAGAGTGCTACACACAACGCATGCATGCAAATACATACACACACATACACACATCCTTCTCTCTCAGAAAAAGCTGACACTGGGGTAGCTGTTAATGCCTTCTGTGCATTATTGACCTACTTTCTYTGTAGGGATGAGGTTGAAATTTATTTACTTCTCAAGTCTGTGTTCTTTAGACATAAAGAGCAATGAAGAAGAACTACATTAAAAGATGAAGAAATGCAGTCACATATTAGGCATGTGATTTTTCCCAGTCATTTACAATAATAATATTATTTATGTTCATGATTCAGCAGAATCCTCAGGAAGAGTTATCCTTTGCTGTGCTGAGCTTTCATGATGGGAGGAACCCACTGAGCCCATTCTGGGCTTCTACAGACGTTTTTTCTTTAAGGCACTACATGTGGACGACACATCCTTCAGAGAGAATGGCTAGTCGCCTTCACTGGATAGTGCATTTCTCCCTCTCCCTTGATTGACCTTCCCTGAGAACTTTTGATTTGATGTACTTCAGATCACTGTTAACACTTGGCCGTCGAGCAAAGGGAGAGATCATGCCATAGGCGTCCATCTCCTTGACTCGACGCATTCGGAAGGATTTCTGTTGAAAGGTTTCGCCATACTGGATAGAGATTTTTCTGTGGAGGGCAGGGCTCATTTCATGAGGTAGCTTGGCCATGCTGAAGAGAACGTAGAACATCTCATCCACGTTGGTGTTCTTCTTGGCTGAAACTTCAAAGTAAGCACAATTTTCATCGCTGGAGACGAGGTTCTCACCTTCATCTGAACGCACCTTGCGGCAGATTTCACCATGGTCATTCTTGTTGCCACAGATCACCATGGGAAGGTCAGCTGATTCCTTAGTCTTGTTCTTCAGGCAGGATTTGACCTCAAGGATCTGTTTCTGGAGTCTCTTGACCTCATCAAAGGATTCTCTGTTGTCCAAGCTGAACACAAGAATAAAGACATCCCCTGCAAATGAAAAAGGAAACCATAAGGGTTTGTTCATCTCTGCCTTTGTCAGAGGAGCTAATTTTAAAAAAGTGGTAAGTTTACTGCCATGCCTCCTCCACATTTTTTTTTGTCCTGTTTGTTCCTGTTTGTTTTTAGAATCTTTTCAGTCTGTGGTACTTAAATTCCACTTCTTTCTCTAATTCAGCTCCCTCCTCCTTTCTGAAATGCTGTGGAAATGACTTATGGCTGTGATATTAAATCTAGCATATTTGAGTATGTGTTTCTGGGTTGCACTAGCCTTGAATCTGTTGTCTATTTGTATTGTCTTTAGTAAGTTTTTATCTCATCTCTATGGCATTGCTTTTCTTTTCTTTTCTTTTTTTTTCCCTTTCCTTCCTTTCATCTGTATCTCTCTATAAAACAGTCTATTCTGATACTAGGAAGACTGGAGACCTAGTAGCCGCTCAGCCTAGACCTTTTGATTAAACAAGACAAGCAACACCTGAACAGAAGATTTACGCATAGTCAGTCCTGAATGCCTGAGTCAGGCTTGAGAGGTTTCCCAGTATTTGGTGTGATCTGCTGCCATTTCATTTGCTCAGGAAAAACAGACTATGGTAAAAAAAGAGAAATGTATAAATGACACAGATCCTCTGGCATTTCCTTTTAGCATTTCCTGACTTACAATTCATTTTGCAAATATAAAATAACACAAATCACTGCCTGTTGGATGGCATGTGGAACRTGCCAAGAGTGCTTTCAGGGACAAAAACTTGCATCCCCATCCCAGAAATCAGCATTAGGATCCCATACCACACAGTCCAGTCTATAGCCTGGTGTGGTGTGAACCTCATGTTTCACAGGCTAGACAGAAGTATAGATAGCAGGTCGTAAAGGGTCCCCCCCCCCTTTTTTTTTTTGAGCTTGGTCAGAATACATCTCCACTGTCACTTTCACAGTTAAAGAATACATTAGCTCACAACAGGAACTGCTTGACAATGAGAAAATTTAAAGTAAAAGCCCACCATTTTCCCTTTTCCTCTCTATTTAATTTACTAGAGGCAAAAGAGAAGGGCTAAAAATAGACAGAATAWTTTTTTTTGTTCCACTAGAATTTCAAACCAAAGGAATCATGCTGGAACTTTTAAGAAAAAAAACCTTTGAGCTTTTCCTGATTTAAATTCGTTTTCTGTGTGTTTTGTGTTTGCTTTTCATTGCTTGCATCTTGTAATGACAGGCTGCTTTTGCCCCTTGCTGCTCTTTATGCCTATGAGGTTTTATGCAACGACTCATTTGTGACAGCAATAAAAAGTACTGGAGCAGAAGAAGATGGTAGCAGGGGAGGGAAATAAACTAGCTGGGAAATCCTAATTTCAGAATTTAATTTGGTGAATCTGGAGCATCCCAGCCAACAAATAGCTCTCAAGAGAGGTGCATGTTGCAACAACATCTAGCGAAACATTTAGCTGCCTCTCAAATGCTTCTTATTGTCAAAACCCAGTCACCTCAAGGCTACGGTTTCCAAGCTAAAGTCTACTCTTACTTTCTTTCCTTCACCATTCCCCATCTGCAAAATTTATTCTGTTTCCTCACCTGTCAGGATAGAAAGCCTCCGCATAGCAGGAAAAGGGTGATTCCCAGATGTGTCCAGGATGTCCAGCTGATACATGTCTCCCCGAATGTTGTAGACCTTGCGGTGAAAATCCTCAATGGTGGGAGTGTACTGGTCGTCAAAGCGGCCATTTAGAAAGCGTGAGACGATGGAGCTCTTGCCTACTCGGGAGGCTCCCAGGACTACCATGCGGTATGAGTTCTTGGCTGGCACATTCAGGGTGCAGTTTCCATTGGACACGGTCTTCATCATTGCTTGTCCCTGAAAGAGAAAACGGCAGAGTTGGAAGCAAGACTAGGAACTAGATGGAGGACAGAGCAGAGCAGCTCCTTAGCACAAGCTTGTCAAGGAGCACTCTGTRCCAGTCTGTTGTGTAAAGCAGAGTGCCTGGTCCCGCTTAGCAGATCAGTGATTCATAAAAAAATCTTTTCATTGGAAATTACCTCATTTTTTTTTCAGTCTTGCTTCCAGGGAGTACTTTGTTTGCTTGTTTGTTTATTTCAAAGTCATATCAAAATGAAGACATTTACACCGAAAAAAAAGGCTTTGAATTGTATTTTGCTATTTCTGTTAAACATTAAGGGCTAATTTTATCAGCAGCACCTAAACTTGGGCACCAGGTTCCCTCTCACCATCTGTTTCACTTAGACATTACCAGATTTTACAGCAGAGCCTGATTCTCCTTTAGATGCATAAAAGCARAGGTCAGATTTCCCAAATATATTTAATCTACTGCAGCTACCATTAAGAAGACTTGAATCACTTTGGGTGCCTAAGTAGGACGTGTTTGTGATGCTAATTTTCTGGCACCAGTCAGAAATCAGAGTACAAGAATCATAYTTGAAATCAGTGGTAGCAAGACATCTCAATAACTTTAAATAAGTGGTCCCACACARCATGTATTGCCAGTGCAGGGAATTGGGGGCACAAAATAGCATTGACCAATGATAAATTGAAACATCTGTGGCTTCAATAACCACTTAAAAATCAGATTTTAATCCTGTTTGGTTGGGAACTCCCTATGAACAAACTCAGTCTTTCAAATACAATTCCCTTGGAACAGCATAGCTGGCAGTGGGCAGTTCTACAGAAATGGCATTTCATGGAAGTTTCTGTCTTCATACATATACAGCTGTTATGGGTATTGCAGTCCTTGAGGGTGCTAAGCCCAGGCAGAAGAAAAGGATAGCCGACTTATGTAGCCATCAGACAATATTTCTGATCCTGACAAGTAAAATGAGCCTCAGGACCTTGGAGATAGCGTTTTGATGTAGTGTTCAGGTACAGGAGACTTCGATAAGAAAAGAAAGTATGAAATGGGGACTGTGCAGCCACTTCTGATGTGCAAGTGCATTGTGCTCTGAAAAGGAAAATGTAACACCAGTGTATGGAAAGCTAATTGTCAGAGCAAAGCAAGCACATTTGGGAGAGAGTTTATTTTCATTACTAGGATCTTGTTAAAGAAAAATCAAGTTCCCACTAGGCTGCTTATTTGACTTAGGTGTTGTTTATTTAATATTACATTTTGAGTACCCTATGTACACTGGAGGATCATTTCTCACTCCAGACTTGGATTCCTGTTTTTCTCTAGAGCAAATTTTATCTCCCAAGCTTTTATGTAGCTGACACTAATCTGAGTCAAAGCTTAAAATCTTTTACTTTGTTTAACATGAGCTAAGTATCAAAGCAGAAATAAAGATACAGTCAGTGCTAAATAAAGAAGTTTCTGGAATTCTGAGCCAGCATCCTTGCAAGTGCTGTATTATAGCCCAAGGCAACAGCAAAACATTATTATTTATTATTATTGCTATCATTTGCTGGACTATGGCAGCACATTCAGCCCCATATAAAGCACAGAAGAAAATGCAATGTTTTCCTTAGAGAAACACTCTAAATTAAATTCAGAGGAAAGCACAGTACAATATTAGAGGCCAAGAGTAACTTTGGACTCAAGTCCTGTACACAAGTACAGGCCTAGAATAAAGGTGAAAATGCTATAGCAGGATAGACTGCAAGGATAGATATCTAGTACAGGACTCTATGTTTTCTATAGAGTAGGACACATCATTGGTAGAGAAGTGCCAGATTTCTTCTCTGAAGCAGCAATGACAGGCACACAGACTCTGTCCTTTCCTGCATAGCCAGTGTGGTACTGTCTTGGCTCCATTGGCCGATCAAGTTACAGTGCTGCTCTGGAATATTTTCTTAATTCCCTTGAGCTTTATTTAGCAGACAGAGAAAAGCAAGGAAACATATTTTTGTGAGAAAACACTCAAACTTTTCTATGGCCCCGATTCAGTATTTAACRATGTGTCTGCTCTTCAAAGTGGGCTGAAGTGGTGTCGCTGCATGAGTGCAAGCAGACTATGTCGATTCACACCTGCTGAAGATTAGTTTTGTACAACTTGCAGCAGGAGCAYCTGGGAGTGAACATGGATACGCTTCTTTTAAGCAAGCATCTTACCTGTCTTGTACAGAACTTGCACAGTGGGGGCTCTGATCCTGGTCAGTACTCTTATGAGCCAGAATCCTACATATTATTTTGCTGACTGACAAAGTAAGCACTGAGCTGCTAGCAAGTACAGAAATACCCATCACAAAGGAGATGAACTGCGTCATTGCACTGGCTTGGAAGACTAGTTGTGCACCTGTAATACAGTCCCTTGGAGAGGCACTTCTGTCTTCTATCTTGAATTAGGTTGGAATGTCTTGAATTTCTGTTAATGTCATCTTACAGTGAACATGTAAAAGAAAGACCCGATGCCATCACTGGCCCACACATGGGGAGATTAAGGCACAGCAAAACTAGAGATCATCCCAGATCCAACAAATGGGGACCATTAACAGACTCCAGAYCGTGAACAGACTCCAGGACTCCTACTGTACTAACTCTTTGCCTTTTCCACCTTTCTTCAGTCTTGCACTTCTGGTCCCTAAAGCACACTGCCTTCTACCCTCACCAAACAAAATAACCCCCCCCACACCAAACCCTTATGCAAGAGATATGTTTGTTTGGGGATTCTTTGCCCTAAAGATGTGAACGCACTAAGGAGGCAGAAGGGTGTGAGGGCACGCAAAGTTTAAAGGATTAATTAGCCACTTTGTGTCTGCAATCTGTCTCTCRAGGCACTCAATCAAGATGACTTGTGTACTGTCCTAACTGCATTTAATTGCACATGGAGTAAAAAGGTGCTTTTAAATGCTTTGTTTCCTAGAGTTGCTACTCATCTTATTACCTCTGCTGTGAATCTGACTAAAAGTGYGCCAGAGCTTATTTTTGTGTTTCATGCTGTCTCTTCTTATACCCCTACTCCAGTTTCTCTCTAGTTGAATATAATTTTATTCTTTCCTCTGAAACGGAGAGAAATTTCAGCTCTCATGCCCGGGTGGTGTGGGGAGCACAGGGGACTCATATAGAGAAAAAGATTAAAGACAGAAGCAAGGAAATAGAAAGACACCACATGTTCATGTACTAAATAAAGCAAAATCAATCTGAAGAGAATGAGGAGGCAAACAACCTCCAGCTGGCTTTAATCTGCATCTTTTCCTACCAGTTTATTAAATGCTTAAGTATAGATTAATTCCCAGTGGTACCTTTTGGTTTAGGCACTGGCTTGATGGTAGAATCTTTACATTAGTATTTTCTATCTCAGAGATTTCAAAATGACATAAAAATGCAGGCAATGAGCATTATCTCTACTCAATAAAGGCAGCGGCTCAGGCACACAGAGCGCACTGAAACAACTGTCCAAAATCAGGATTAACCCTCTCCACTCCCACCTTTTTTTAACAACCCGTGTCTCCTTCTACCTGCTAACCACTGCAGCTTAGTTTGCAGGCACACTTCAGACTGAATGACAATACACTTGCATGTGCGTGTGCTGAAGAGTGCTTATCTAAATTGCTATGAGGTGCTGACAGATTTGATCCTGAGCACCTGGAGAGAGATATTTAAGGAACAGAATCTTCATTCAATCTGCGTAGAGTTTTATACCCTAATTTTCAATCACCTCATCATTAGGCAGAAGCAAACTGCACCATGCAAAGCAGACCTGCCACTTGTTAGTCACTGATAGCATTCTCTGAATTTTCATGCACACAGATATAACTTCTGTAGGATTTTTTTTTTCCAGGATGCTATCCCAAACTTCAAAGCTACTTTCTTACCTGTCTTTCTTTGGAGAAGAAATCCTCAGTCTTGGTGTAATTTGATGAAGCTAATGGTTTTAATCAGCAGCAGCGTTGCTGTGGAAGGCTGTTATTCTCTGTATCCCACGTTGCCGCTCTGGGCTTAGTTCTTCACCAGTATTTTCTGGGACATTAGCAGGATTGGAAAGGATTGCAGAAATGGAGAGGAGTGTCCCCCATGGATAGTAACTACTATATCAGGTGACTGACATGGGCTAAAGAAGGGTCTCAGTGATAGCTTTTCCCTCTGATGAGCTCTTCTCCTGACAGCCTCAGTTCAAGCGTCTCCCACTCCCACTGGCTTTTCTTGCAAGTTGTGCTCCGTGGGATCCACTGCGTGGAAAGATTCTCTGGAGCGACACCTAGTCGTACCACGTCGTGGGTGCATCCATCTGGCCCACCCTGCTTCCACACTGTGCCCCACAGGGAAAAATCACRGCGGGCATGGAAGCTGTGTCTATGGCAGTGGGACTAAGCCTATACTTCCCTGAGTCCTACCTAGCAGTCCCCTGCCACTAGCTTCTCCTGTTTTTTCTGTGCTGAGATTTGCTTAAAATTGTTCTGTATCCAGGTGAAAAAGGGGTTTTCTTTGCTCTTGCCAATTAAGTCTTTCTTCTTCCCTCCCTGCCTTTCTCTCTCTTGCTCTCACTACTGGCAAATTGCAGATTTTCCTTCTGTAGGACTCACAGATAATTGGCTCAACTCCTCCCTTGAAGTCAGTGTCAGACAAGGGAAGGAGGGGTGCTGAGGGGGTGGGATTTTGTGCCTTTTGAATTATTTTTTTTCTTTTTTTTCTTTTAAGCAGAAAGTTGATATGCGTTTCAAACTGCAAATTCTCTGTCTTTCCACAAGAGATGTGCACATATGTGTGTGTGTGGAGAATGAGATACTTTATGTGTGTAACAGGCAGAGACTTCACTTTCTTTGCAAGCTGTAAACGCATAAGCTGTTCCTAAAAGCTCTTTATTTCTGTGGTAATATTTTCTGTTAGACAGAAGTGGACTGACTCACTTCCCATGTAAGGGCTTTTTGTCTGTAATTCCTGTAATTCTTTTGCCGTATGGGATTTTTGTTCCTGTTCCCTCAACCTCCATGACATTATGTTAGGAATGCTGTTYGGTTTTGATTAAGAAATAATGAAACTCTGTAATTCCTAATATTTTAATGATATTTAAATAAATAGAAAACTAAATTAGAGTCAGTAATAATGTTTTTGTTTGGTGAAAAAAGAAGCTGAAAAATAAACGTCAGATGAAAGGAAACTAGGGAAGACTGAGAAATAAAAGAGAAAAATAGGTTGAATTCAAAGAGTTTGATTGAGCTCAAAATATATTTGGGCATTATTGACTCAATTTATTCTTCTGTAAGAACTGAAGTTATAGTTTAGATTTACAAGGCTGTTTTGAAAAAAAGATATTAAAGTTCAATTTGATGGTTGAAAGGAACTATTTGAGCATTTCCCACTTGCAACATCTAATCATAAAATATAAAGAGGAAGAAACTTTGGAAATAAATAAATAAGAATGACCTCCCAACTGCACATATCTCTCAAAATATTCTTTCTCTAAGCCATTTACTTTTCTGCTTTAGGTTCTTACTGCTACCTAAGGAAGAGTCTTGTGCTACCTAAGGAAGAGTCTTAAGACAATGCTGATGCCTGTAATTCCTGCCGTTTAACAAAGAACACTTTACATTCTTCACTTTTTTCCCTCTGTGCAACGTGACCACTTTCTCTGCAGACCACAGCTCATCCTCAAAGCACAGTGATGTTTCTGTCATCCTTCTCAGAATAACCCTTCCTTTCTTAGCTCACGTCCAGGTGTCATGCATGAGCACAACTGCCAATGTTGAGTGCCTTTAGCTTGCATGTGTCCACTGAGGTGTCTGCCTCTCCTTTGCTGGTGCTGCACAGTGGTGATCAGCAGCTGCTGGCAGGGGTGCAACGTCTGTCTGTGTGCACATGTGTACATCTGTGTACAGGCAGAATCTGAATCCCTCAAAACAGGCTATGAGCTGGGTCCTGTTATTATCAGAAAAGAGCTGTCTGTGAGAGGCAGCAGCTCCCGCTAAAGTTATACTCGAGCATGAGGGGAATTTGGGGACCTTAAGCTAACAGAAGTAATGGTGATTACTTTTGGGAAAGGACATCTCCTGACTCTTCACCAGTAGAGACAACTTTAAATTTGGGAAGGATGAGCACTGGTTGGCACACAGCACCATTGAGACAGTAATGGCTTCTTCCAAGGGTTGTCCCAGGTCATGAGTCATGGCCTGAGCTCAGCTCTTTTAAGAACACAATACTAAGATTCTTTCATCAGCTCTTAAATCTTTTCTCTTTGGCACAAAGTAGAGGAGCCATTTTATGTCTCAGACAATTTTTTGAAATAAGATATAATTTTTTTTTTTTACTAAGTCATTGGTTTAGATCACATTTGGATCATTTTGGACCTAGAGTTGCCATCTTCTGAAGGCTGGTCAACTGTATTTGTACTTTAGATCCAAACAGAAAGGTGCCTGAAACTCAGCTAGTATCATTGACATAAGATTGCTGCTGGCAGAATTAGCAAACAGTTCAAGCCCTGTAGTGCTACAGAGAATAAACTCCATTTTCATCTGTATAGCTCCCATAGAGAGTGCACAAGTTCCCTGCCAGGAGGAACTGTAGTCATCCTAGGAACGATCTCATCATCCTGGGATCTTAGCCTACTCAAAGGCTTTGACAAACCAAGTTCAGAAGACTTGTCTAGCTGGCTTCACCAGCCCACAATCACACTGAGCTACCTTCTCCAGCATTCAAGTTAGCCAATCAGTTCCTCAAGATATATCAAAACAGGAATGTACTTGACTTGGTTTTATTTGATCTCTCAGCAAATAGCTAGTGCAATAACAAATTACCACTGAAGTAAGCCTTCGAAAGTTAATTGCCAACCTTGAGACTGCTTGAGGTCTGTTACTGTACTTTGCTGTAGTTTTTGTTTGCTTGTTTGTTTGTTTTATGCTTGCTGTGTTTTTTTTTTTTTTGGAATCTTTAGAGTTCAAGAATTGACAAAATCCTAGGATTTCATGCCTCCTTTCAGCGCTCAAGGGACCAGAGGTCAAAATTCTCTGCTTCTTCAAGACTTCTGAGGAACCTTTGTGAAGAAGTCAGTTTAGTTCTTTTYTGGATCTGTCCCCATCTGAGAAGAGAGGATGAGAGCATCTCTTTGTTTTTAGGTTTACAAAAGTAATCAGAGATGATGTGGTGCTCTCCTATTGGCATAATGAAGGCCTTATATTAGACATGTAAGTTGTAATCTACAGCATGAAGTAACAGAAATGAGGAAGGAAACTAAAGGTACATTGATCCGTAGTATTATGATATTGTTTCCTGTAAGAACAATTGCTGTCATACCACTGTGCACAAGAAAGTAGTAGTAGTATTTTTTTTCCTAGCTAGTCAGAGACTATCAACCTTTCTTAAGGTTTACAGATGTTTAGCAGTTTATAAGCCAATCAAAAAATGAATTACTCTTCAGAGGCATTTCTTTCTCCTGGTTTCCATGAGGTTGGTCCTGCTGGCTCATCCACAGGGCTCTGCCTTAGTTGCAGAAGATGCTGGAAATGCAGCTGTTGCTGGTAGGCAAGACAGCTGTGCTCATTTTGGCTTTGCTTACACTACAGATGGACAGAGACCCAAGAGTGCAAGTCAAGAGAATAGTTAGAAATGTTGCAAGGAGAGGTTATGTAGAAAGATTTACAAATGAGCAGGGAAAGAGAAGGGAAAAATACTATTGACTTGCCTAGTGTTAACTGCCTGGCTCCAAATGAAGGTGAAGACCAAAAATGAAGTGATTTGGTCTCTGGTGGGGCATACAAACTGGCAAGTGGCTTAGAGCAGACCCTTCAGAAGAGCTTCCTCTTCTCTGCAGAGAGGTGCAGCCTCCCTAGACAAACTGACAGTCCCTTCACTCGGGTATAGGGCCACCTCTCCAGAGTGATGCACACACACACTGATCACTACAGCACCAGGATCTATGACAATCTGACCTTGTGGGGCAGAGGCATTGCCATCATTAGTCTTTTACACCTTCTTCAGCCCCGGTACTGGCCGTGGCTGGAGATGGAGACTGATGTGATGGGCTGATGCAGCAGGACCAATCTGTTTCTCTCTGCCRTAAGTAAAATGACAGGAATGGCAATCACATGCCATTCAGCTGTGGTCAGAATTAGTTAAAGACAAAAGTTGTTCCAAGGCTTTTGTCTTCTTTTCAAAAGCAAATGCTAGATAGATTAAATATTTAAACCAGCTTTTCTCTCTCCTTTCCCATTCATTTTCATTCCCCTCATTATTTGGTAAAGAAAGCTCATTCTTCCACCCACTCACCTTCTCTCCCTGCCTCCTACATTGATTTCTCATGCTTGGTGCTCCTTCCTTCAAAAAATGCTGAAAAGTGGTTTATGTTGTTGTTTTGTTTTGTTTTCAGGGGTCAGTAAACTGCAGGTCCCAAGCCATACTCTGAACAGCAAGTAGATCATCATCCATGAGTATTATTGCCCCTGCATTATCTTCACTCCCAAGCATTTAAACTTTGTGAAGGGATTTCCAGTGGTCTTACAATAACTGAGAAAATAAGTGATAATCACCAGTTATAAATGAGACCTGAATATCTGGGATTGGGAGGCAGCTGGAGAAAGCACACATTCAAGAAAATGGTGGCTTATTTTATATTCCTGGTCCTTTCAAAGAACTTGTTCATGACTTTATGTAATTTCTCAGTGTCCCATGGTGTAAAATGGGGTAGTGATATTTACTCAGATCCCTGGAAAATGGAAAAGCACTGCCATGAAGTACATCCAAGTCASCTGTTTTTTTGCTGTGTTTGTTATGAATCATTTTAATTGCATTTTAATGAAATATTTTTGAGAAAAGATTTCATTTCTAGTCTCCCTCCTTTCCTTTTACCAATAAAGAATCATCATGTCCAGGTTTCTTTAGCAGGCACACAGGCACCCTTTCATTCTTAGTCCATTGTTTAAACTTTTTAAAGCTTCCACCATTTTTTGGGGAAATTACTAAGAAGCAAAATTAAATCTGAAAAAAAAAAAAGAATATTCAAAGAGCTTCAGATAGAACATACACTAGAAACTCCCTCTGTATAAGACATTTTCTCTACCTTCAGTGAATACCAAAGGRGGTTGGTTTGCAGTCTTCCAGATCCCAAAGGGAGAAAAGCAACCCCCACTACATCTGTGTAGCCTATGATTCTGTTTGAGTTGAAGGACAAGTCATGTACTCACCTGACAATGACTACAGAGCGCTATGCCAGCCCTTAGGGAAGGAGTGGGTGTAGGTATAAATCACGATGTTCTATCTCTGATCGGTATCCTATTTCTCTGGGTGCTGCTGGCCCCTGTGTCTAGACAGATAGCTCCTTGCCCAGGAGGGAGCCAAGGTATGTCTCTTCTGACACTGACTTGAATCAATGATGCTGGTACAAAAGGGTCCATGCTAAACATCTCCTCCATCTGAGAGAGGGAAAAAGATCCCTTTTTGGGCCACTGCTATAGCTGTTTCCCCCCCGGTATTGCTTGGCCTCCTAAGATATACCATTACTCTTCCCCTTTTACCATCTGCTCTTT